CCGCGCCCAGGCCGAGGCCCCGCCCCGCCCCTCCTCCCGCCGCGCTCATTGGCCGCGTCCGCGCTTGCAACGGGCGCTGTGCAGAAGCGGCGGCGTAACTGGGGCAAAGGGCGCGGGCCGCGCTGACCCCGCGGGCGGGGCGGGAGAGCACGGGACGGGACGGGAGAGGACGGGACGGGACGGGATGGGACTGGACAGGGCGCCATGCCGCGCTGCACGTGGGCGCATGTGCATTCTTGGGCGAGCAGCCTCCTCATCACCCCGAGCTAGGATCACCAAACAAATGGGGACCTGAAGGTTTGGGCTGCTCCCAGGATGCGTGGACAGCTCAGAATGAGTGATAGAGTGGTGGAGGTTGGCAGAGAACTCTMGAGATCATCCAGTCCAAGCACTGCTCMWGCAGGGACACCCAGAGCACGGGGCACAGGGCGGCATCCAGGCGGGTTGGGCAGATCTCCAGAGGAGGAGACTCCACAGCCTCCCTGGGCAGCCTGTGCCAGGGCTCGGGCACCCTCACAGGGAAGAAGTTCCTCCTCACCTGGAGATGGAACTTCCCGTGTTTCAACTTGTACCCATTGTGTGGAAAACACACCAGAAGTTTGGGCTTGAGCAGAACACACACCACAGAGCAGAATACACGTCGCAAGTTTGAAGTTTGTGTCTTTAATGAGCAGGACAGAGGAACCCAGACAGCTGGGAGACTGACCGGAGCCAGGAGTGAGGGGAGAGACTGCGGGGAGCCTGGAGCGAGGGGGTCACAAAGGAGTCAAAGGACCTGCGGTGCTAACAYGTGGCGGGAGGCACCGCGCTGGTGCAGGCGGCCGGGCAGGCTGTGACTCCCGAGCCCCTCGGCCCGTGGGGAGAAGGAGAGGGCACCGCGGCCGGGAGATTAGGATAAAAGGGGACTGCGTCCCCCGGCAACCTGAGAGACCCCACAGGGGTATGCCTGGTGGACTCTCCCTTTATTCRAATAAAGTTTTGGGTCTCCTCGGTCTGCTTTTGGACATTCAGTTCTTGGACAGGGAGATTTTTCCGCACACCATGCCCCCTGTCCTSTCACTGGCCACCATCAAGAAGAGTTTGGTCCCTTCCTCTCTACATTCTKCTCTCAGGTACTTACACATACTGATCAGACCCCCTCTCAGTCTTGACCGTGCTAAACAGGCCCTGCTCACTTGGTCCTTCCTCATACAACAGCTGCTCCAGTCCCTTAACCATAGGGCATCCYGGCTTGTACCAGGAATTGCRCAGCCAGCAGGAGCAGGGAAGGGGCTGTTCCCCTGTGCTCGGCACCGGTGAGGCTGCACCTCCAATACTGAGCTCAGCTTACTGTGCTCCTCACTGCGGGAAGGGCATGGAGGAGCTGGAGCGCGTCCAGGGAAGGGCCGTGAAGCTGGGAAGGGGCTGGAGCACAGACCTTGTGAGCTGCGGCTGAGGGAGACCCCTGCGGCGGGGTTATTTAGTGTGGAGGCAGCTCCAGGGAGACCTCATCACTCTCTACAGCTGCCTGGAGGAGGCTGTAGTGAGGCCAGGGTCGGTCTCTTCTCCAGGATAACTACTGATAGGTCAAGAGGAGATGGCCTCAAGTGGCACCAGGGGAGGCCCAAGTTAGACATTAGGAAGGATTTCTACATGGATGGACATAGTGTCCAGCCTGGGGACAGGCTGCCCAGGGCAGTGCTGCGGTCACCATCCCCGGCAGTGCCCAAGACACATGTGGATGAGGCACTTAGGGACATGGTTTAGCAGGCAGGATGATGTTGATGAGCTTACAGTTGGACGCAGTGATCTTGAATGTCTATTCTAACCATGATGGTTCTATGATTGTGTGATTCTATCTTTGCTGCTCCATGCTGGGCTCTCCCTAGAGTTGCACATCCCTCTTGTACAGGGGAGCCCAGAACTGTACACACTACATTAGACCATGCTCTCCTCTTCTTTTTTTTCTATTTTTTCCCCTTTGACCTGTAATATTTGATCAGGAACCAGAGTGGCAGAGCTCCTTTCTAGTCAGGGACAGTCAGGGAAATGTAGGGCAGAGGCCAAGCCAGGCTCTGGTTAAGGCGAGTCAGGGAATGTGGGGGAGAGGTCGAGCCCTGCTCCSGTCAGGGAGAGTCAGGGAATGTGGGGCAGAGGCCGAGCCATGGGAGCCGGAGCCACTCCACATGGAGGAGTGGGGTCGAGGTCGCCTCGGGGGATGCGGCCGCGCGGAGCGGGCAGCTCTGCGGCGCTGCCARTGCCGGCGCCGGGCACTGCAGCCCCATGCTGGGAGCAGAGCACGTCGTGTCGCACGAGACGTGTCCTGCTAAGTGGACCTCTGCTCCCAACACCGCCTCGTCCCTGCCTCATCATCTACAGGCAGAAACAAGTCCCAATGGATCCAATGGCTCCAAACTCCATGCCACAAACACCAACATGGATATTTATAAAACATGGCTGTTTATTAAATTCCTACATACTGCCTTAATTTTATCAATTCTGTTTCTTTTTTTTTAATAGGAAAAAAAATAATGCCTTCTGCCTTTTAGACTGCTCAGGTTGTATCTTGGAGGAGCAGTGGCCTGTACCGCTTCCTGCGCTCCCACAGAAATCCTCCTTGCCGTTGAAGCAGCTGCCTCTGCAGTGCATGTGCTCTCAGGAAGGAGGATTTCCACCTGTTCATTTATTTCCATATGACAGAAAAATGTTTTCTCATGGATTAAGCCTACATRAACATGTTTAATTGTAAATACTCCACTTTGGTCAAGATTTTTTTTTAAAGTCCTGTATTTTTTTTTCGCATCTTGCAGCCGTCAACTAACTGCTCTCTAAGATTCCTTTGTCTATAAACTGTATGCAAACCTTTCCTAGAAAAGCCTACTATGTTTAAAGTTCCTTGTCTGACCCAAGATGAAAGAAGAAAAACAGAAGAAAAAGTCAATATGCATCACTATGTATCAAGATGTCTTAAATGAACAGCCACCTTTGCACTCAGCAGTTAAATTTAATTCGGTTTGTAGGGGTATCAACTCCCCTGTCATGTAGTTGAGATGTTTTTTGGACACTGTAATAGTAATACTTTATGGGATTGGATTTATTTGGAAAGGTAGTAACTGGCAGTTTCTTTGGAGGAGGAGGAGAAGAAATACTGTAWTAGGTGTTTTTATATTTTCCAGCAGAACAGAACATTCCTAAAAGGATATAATAAATAATATGGACAGGTTTTGTCTGGCTGCATGTAAAGACAGGTAGATTATATCCACAAGTACTTCAGGTTGGGCTGTTTTACTAAAGTTGAGTTTTATTGAGTGTCTCCAACAAGATCACCTACTCTCCCTCGGTAAGGAGCCTGGATTACTTGTTTCTGTGTCTCCTGTAGCTTCAGTTTTGGCATTCCAGCAGAAATGCAGCAAGGAAGTTGTGAGTATTTGCCTCTGCAAGCCCTGGAGTGGCAGGGGCCCCGCTGAGCGTGTTTATCGCCCAGGCAAGGCCTAGTCCAGACTGCCCCTGCCACCATCACATCAGCTGCTTCTCACCRTCTTTGCCTGTGCTTGCTCTTTGAGCAAAGCGCAGCAGTTTGGTGCTCACAAAATAATCCTGCTTGTACACAGGCAAACAAGCCCTGCAGCAGTGTTGGCCGACGTATCGTCTTGCCTAGGGATGGAGGCTGAGGGAACTAGGGGTCTCGGCACCACTGTGAGGTGCTTAGGGCTCTCCATGCAGCTTTCCATCATCAGAAGCGTTTTTATGGGCTGAAGAGGATCCACAGGGTTCTGAAGATG